GTATAAAACAAAGTCGCTTTCGCTGTATGTCCGTATGTATGCTTAGATCTTTAAAACTACGCAACGGATTTTGATGCGGTTTTTTTTAATAGATAGAGTGATTCTTAAGGAAGGTTTGTATGTATATACATATTGCACCCGTGCGAAGCCGGGGCGGGTCGCTAGTACAAAATAAATAATAGTCTGTCAGTCAGTCCGTCAGTGAAACTAGGTGAAGCTAGGTGCTCATTCCAAAAAGTAGATTCGAATGGAGAAGAACGAGCAAGCAAAGGTCCCCTCAGTTTCCCTAAGATCCCATCATCAGACCCTGACCTCATGGAAAAGGGACCATCTCGGAAGTATAACCCTTTCAAACAAAACAAGAATTTTGGAAATCGGTTCACAAACGGCGGAGTATAGCGCAAACAAACAAACAAAAAACAATCAGCTGAACATGGTACCTCCTCCTTTTTTTGAAGTCGGTAAAAAAAAACGGCCATTTATGTTTTTACCACAGAAAAGAATATATATACAATACTTTGTGTGTTCTTTGCACGCAAATCATTATAAGCGTACTAAGCGTTTCGTTTAGATATTGTTATGATTAATATACCTACATACATACCTAATTAAGTTATGACAATCAATATTATTAATTGTTTATTCATTTACTTCCTATGATTCATAGTAACTCTGCTACAAGTCCAAACATGTTTTCCTAAACACGCGCTTAGAAAAGGAACCTACGTAGGTACCTACTCATATTATTCAGCTCCTACGCAAGTTCAGCGATAAGCCAACAATACACCATCGTGTGCGAAAGAGCTCAATATAATCACATGTACACCAGTTACGTTATGACTCTCATGTAATGGAAATAACGATAACGAGGTTATTGACCGGTCACAGAGAGATTCTGTTTTACATTTGAGTAATTATTTCGATAATTGAAAACCTATTTTTTAGACCACTTGCAGTACGTAGTGACAATGTTTGCTAGCCGTCTCCTGGTAAACGGTCACCGTAGGCTACGATTTTTTTTATGGAATATCATTAAATGGCTTTCAACTCCTGGCTTATACTGCAACCCTGGTATAAACAATTATTTACATAAAATATGTTATGTAAATAATAATTATATGTTTGTAGGATCAGGGTCCGACATTATTTGAAAATAAAACAAAGAGCTTCACACAATCACTTAGTTTATTTCGATTAAATGAACTTACTTTCACATTAATTTTTAATTATAATAATTGAATAATTCAGCACTGATTATATAAAGGAAACACTCAAATAAAACCAACAATAAAATTACTCAGCGATTGCGTAACGTGTGAACTGGGCAACGATCGACGAACGACTGACTCGAGCTTGCGCTTGCGCTGCTTTATATATCACTCGGTGGTGGGGTTGAAGTGACGTCGGTCAGTTGTTTGTTCACTGCTCGCCCATTACATTCGCAGTTTACAAAATAATGACGGCGGCGCCGACA